TTTTTGGCAGGAAAACTATGTCTGTTTTAACGTTCCCAGGAAGATATCATTCAGATCATTATAAACAATTTGAAGCAGACGTGAATTTATCCAAATGAGTCTTCTCGAACAATGAAAACTGACTCACATTTTTGTGATTTCTGTGGTATATTGGCATTCACCTGCTTAAATCGATTTGAAAAAAATTGTCCTTTTTCTTCAACTTTCCTTTGTTTGACATGGGATATAAGCAATGACCGTTTTGGACTCGTTTTAGCGATATTGGCCAGTGTCAACAACTTTCATAAGACATTCATGGGATATCGGCAGAGACCCATGTTGACTAAATTGGCCCATTTTAGCTATATTGGCCAGTTTCAACAACTTTCTTATGACTTTCATGGGATATCGGCATAGACCCGCACTTGGAGCGGCCGATTTTTACTGAATTGGCCCATTTTAGCGATATTGGTCAGTTTCAACAACTTTTATAAGATTTTCGTGGGATATCGGCAGAGACCCGCACTTGGACCCATTTTAACTAAATTGGCCCATTTCAGCGATATTGGCCAATTTCAACAACTTTCATATGATTTTCATGGAATATCGACATACACCCGCACTTGGACCCATTTCAACTAAATGGGCCCATTTTTAAAGATATTGGCCAGTCTCCACAACTTTCTTATGACTTTCATGGGATATCGGCAGAGACCCGCACTTTTGACCCATATTAACTAATTAAATTGGCCCATTTTAGCGATATTGGCCAATTTCAACAACTTTCATATGATTTTCATGGAATATCGACATAGACCCGCACTTGGACCCATTTCAACTAAATTGGCCTATTGTAGCGACAGTGGCCAGTTTTAACAACTTTCCTATGACTTTCATGGGATATCGGCACACCCGCACTTGGACCCATTTTAACTAAATTGGCCCATTTTAGCGATATTGGCCAATTTCAACAACTTTCATATGATTTTCATGGGATATCGACATAGACCCCGCACTTGGACCCATTTCAACTAAATTGGCCCATTTTAGCGACATTGGCCAGTTTTAACAACTTTCTTATGGCTTTCATGGGATATCGGCATAGACCGCACTTGGACCCATTTTAACTAAATTGGTCCACTTTAGCGATACGGGCCAGTTTCAACACCTTTCATATGATTGTCATAGGATATCGGCGTAGACCTGCACTTGGACCCATTTTAACTAAATTGACCCATTTTTCGNTCCGACGCTTCCACAGGAGGCAAGCATTTTGGACTGAACTTCTCGGCTGGTATGCTTGCAGGGTCAACCCCAATGACCGAGATCTTTTGCAAACATCTTTCCTTCCAACTCTCTAAGCTTTCGGCATACTCAGAGAGCACTGGGATACCTTAAGATGAATGCCGGATACTTTTATCGCTTTTTTCTGTCTGGATATTCATGTAGTTGGCGAAATAATACGGCGATAAGAGAGAGGGCTTCACTATAGAAATCGACTAATTATTCATAAATTTGACACCCGAGGGACACCAACATGGCGGACACTAACTTCAGCAAAGCTTGTGACGTCACCTGAAACCCAACCATTGGCCAGTTTCAAGAACTTTCAAATGATTTTCATGGGATATCGGCCTATACCCGCACTTGGAACCATTTTAACTCAATTGGCCTATTTTAGCGATATTGGCCAATTTCAACAACTCTCTTATGACTTTCATGGGATATCGGCATAGACCCGCACTTGGACCGGCCTATTTTAACTGAATTAACTAAATTAACTGAATTGGTCCACTTTAGCGATAGAGGCCAGTTTCAACAACTTTCGTATGATTTTCATAGGATATTGGCGTAGAGCCGCACTTGGACTCATTTTCACTAAATTGGCCTATTTTAACGATATTGGCAAGTTTCCACAGACTTTACTTTGGTTTTCATGGGATATGGACATTGACCCGTTCTACGCTTATTTTTAGCGATATTGGTCCCTTGCCACAGAGCTTCTCTTGGTTTTCATGAGATGTGGGCATAGACCCGTGTTTGACACAATTTGCGATATTGGCCAGTTTCCACAGACTTTCTTTTAATCCTTATTGGATGTCGTCATTGACCCGTGTTAGACTCATTTTTGCGATATAGGCCAGTTTCCAGACTTTATTTTCGTTTTCATGAGATATGGGCATTGACCCGTGCTAGACTCAATTTGCGTTATTGGCCAGTTTCCACAGACTTTCTTTTAATCTTCATGAGTTATCGGCATTGACCCTCGTTAGACTCATTTTAGCGATATTGGCCAGTTAATTTCCACAAGTTTATTAAGGTCTCAATGGGATGTTGTTCTTGACCCGCATTTAGGTCCCGCTTTAGCAATTTTAGTCAGTTTGCCCAGAAAAGGGGCCCTGATTTTCATGGGATACTTAGACACGTCAATTTTAGTGATTTTTTTTCCAATCTCTGCGACTTTCTCGCAGCTCTTATCGGATATTGCTATTGACTGCACTTGGTTCAAACTTTCATTTTGGTCTTTATTAATAATTTTGCAATGTTTGTCATGGGATATCCGCATTGACCCAGGTTAGACTTATTTTTGCGATATTGGCCAGTTACACAGACTTTCTTATGTTCCTCTTGGGACATCAGCATTGACCAGTGTTAGACTCATTTTAGTGATATTGGCCAGTTTTCAAAATTTTCGTATGGTTTTCATGGGATATTGCTCTTGGCCCGTATTTAGGTCCCACTTTAGCGATCTTGGTCAGTTTGCCCAAGAAAGGGTCCCTTATTTTCATGGGACACTTGGACACATCTATTTTGTCTTATTTTCTGCGACTTTCTCGCGGCTGTTGTAGGATATTGCTATTGACAGGGCTTGGTTCAAGTTTCAATTTTGTGCCAGTCACTTTCCGCGACATTGTTATGATTTTCATGGGATATGGACTTGGACTTGCTTCGTTGATATTGGCCAGTTTTAGTTACTTTCTATTAATTTTCAGGGGTACTTAGACAAACCAATTCTGGCGATATTGGCCAATTTCTGCAACTTTCTAGTGGCGCTTATGGGATATTGTATTGATCTCCGCTTAACTGAATCACGTAAAAATGCACCAAATAATTCTAACTATTCATCATTGTTTTACGTACAAACACTTGGGCCAAAATGCTGGAACGCCCTTAATTTAAACAGGCTAAAAACGTACCAACAAAGTGGCCAGGCAAAGGTGCGTTAAGACAGCAAGGAGGAGGAAAGGAGGTTGCATTAACTTCTGGAGGAGAGCTCTTAGTTGTCTTGCAAAGTGACTGACTGATTAACCTAGAGTTTATTTTGTTTTTGTTTGCAGATTGGTAACATTTTTTGGTAGCTTCACGTTTATGAGTGAAAAAAAAAGGAACAGGCAGCTGAGACGATTCACAAGTTAACATTAAGATATTTCTGTGTCGAAATCTGAACTATCTGAATCGGATGCGCTGTCACTTCCGTATTCGGCATAAAGAACGGAACACAAGTCCTCAAAGATTTCACTTTGGCCGAGCTGTTGAACAACGTCAGCTTCATCAGTGTTATCATCGTCATCTTTTTGAACCTCCTCATCGTCATCGTCGGAATCCACTTCAGGGAAACTTCCAAGATCAAACTGAGCTTCACATTCTTTATGGCCACCAGCACCTCCAGAAAAGAGACCGTGGAGATAGTGAGTGAATACGGAAAGCTCATCCATTTTAGTGCAAGCAGTAGCAAGCAATGCACGAGCTCGCTCCGAATCCTTCTGTTCTATCAGCTCCTTTGACCACGCGTCCAATACCTTCAACTTTCCTCGAAATGACTGAGCATTCGGACCATTTGTTCTTTGGTGTTGGCTATTTCCTCTTGGCATCTTTTTGCGGACATGGACCAAATCAATGAGTTGCTTCTTTAAACAATAGGGGACAGTAGAATGCGACTGGATGTCATCGTTAAGTACAAGCCACAAAGGACTGTCGATGTTTAATTGGTCTTCAACTGAAATTGTGGAAGGATATTTACAATCCAACGTGTCAACGTTTTGTTTTGTATATTCCTTGACCAGCTGTTTAATGGCTCCTGTTGCCTTCGTGATCTGCGTACAAAGCCGTTTCGCAATGCTTGTCCATCTGAAGAATTAACACGACAAAAGTCAAAATGATACCATAAAAAGCCGAGATTTACAGCTATCATGTCGCTACGATATGACAGTTACAGCTGGTTAA